AAATTCAGCTTTGTTTCAGCTCGTTTCAGGTGCTACTGTCCGCCATCTTTTTTCTCATTTTTTCTCGAAACTTTCTCTGACGCAATTCCCACTTATTAGCCTTTCCAACTCTTTTTGAAGGCGAGCAACCTCTACTTTTTTGTTGTTGATTTTTACTTCAACTTTTAATGCATCTGATGTTCCAAGCATGCCAGAATCTAGTAGAGACTCCAAAGAGGCAGTCTCAGCCTGGACCAAGCTGATCTGCCCCTGATCCTGTCTTGGCGGTATCTTCCACGGACCCAGATGGTGGTGGTAGATGGCCCAGAGTAGTAGCAGCTGCAGCAGCCTGAAGAGGGGAGGAGGAAGGAGAGGAGGAAGGGGGTAATCTCCCACCATATCCTCCAAACAAAGAGTGGGTTCCAGGTTGGTGTGATGCTGAGAGAGATACGTGGCCCGCGGGGGCGACCAGAGGGGGGAGGGAAGATGCCGCCACAGAGGAAAGTGGGCCCAACAACTGGAAAAGGGAGAGAGACAACTTTGTGTCAGGTCACTCTCAGTGCTAAGATGGGGCTGATCATACCAGCTGATCCAGTCTGAGGCTTTTCCCTTTCCAGAGTGACACATGTCTTTTTCAGACTGATCGAAGCGAACACAATGACAGCTTCACCTCCACAGCAAGAACAAAATGAGACAATGTGCCAAGCAAAACCTACCTATCTACCTTATGTCGCTATATATCAATGAAAGTTTCGCCCAAGTCCCGAGGTGATAAAACCTCATTACAGTAAAACCTTTGAGTCCATCTCTACACAATGCCAAGACTTATTCCCTGCACCAGCTAGTTACATTCATAATAAGAAGAGGAGAATTTCACCTATACATTTATAGGCTTGTTGCTGCTTGGTAACAGCTAACCACTCATTCCTCCAAAATGTAGAACTGTCTGATCTTGCAGGATAGCAAACAAGTGCAGCATTCAGATGTACACCCTTCAATAATGCCATTTCATCATAAGTCTGTAAAGGTGAAATTCCTCCCTTAACATAAAAAAAAAAAAAATAAATAAATAAATAAATAAAAAAAAATAGCAAGCTCAACCTTAGGTATAACTTGCAAAATACTCCAGTTTAATTTCAATTCATCAAATAATTTATAATGACTAAATATTTAGAGGAGTAAGAACCAAAACAGGATAACATTAATTCTGACAAATCTCTGCCACTGGAGCATTTTGCTTCAGATAGTTTACTGACTCCTCCGCAGGATTCTTAAACTTTATGTCTGCATAAAATGTCTATTTTCCATCATTATTATACTCATTAATTTAATCAAAAGATTTTCATTTGCAAACAAATCCTTGTGCTTCAACAAAATCACAACTGAAATGCTTTACAATCATTTCTTTATCACTTTCATAAATTCCAATTATTCAATTATCTATATCCATTTGAGGTAAAGGAGAAATGATTGCAAACATTAAATAGTCTAATACAAAGAAGCACAATGATCAAGATCAGGAGGAATCAGTTAATGCTGACAGGAAGCAACAAACCGATACATATTTCAAAAGCGATCCAAAATAAAGGAGACTAACTTCTTCATTGCAGGTAAATAGGAAAATGTACTTAAGTACAACTAGAACTTCAATCGTTCCCCTCAGATGAGAAATGTGCATTTAACAGAAAATAATGAATTTTAGACATTCTAACATTATCCTTCTTAACAACAGCGTTAACACGTCTTGAATCACTGACGATTTGAAATTGTTGCTTCTATTAGCATCACAGAAAGGGATGAATACTTTTAGCGGAAAACTCACCATTGCTGGATCTCCAGAGGGAGGCATGGATCCATCTTATGGGTAGCATTACTTCGGGGAAGTTGGGATGGTTTTCAGACCCAACTGAGGAGTCACCCCTCCCCCATCCCCTTCAACACCCCAGTCCCCTTCACTTTCTCTAGTCCACCACATCTTCTTGCTTGATCTCCTGCACAAGAACTTTCAATTTTTTCTCTTAAATTAATAAAGAGCTTGTTATATGAAATGCAATTATTATGCAATGTGTCTATCTATAAGCCATATTTCATCAAAAAGACAATATCTAACTTACCATTTCTGGCTCTTCTTTTGACTGTTGGGTTTGTGGATTCCAGATGGCCCAGGTGAGGGCTCTTCTCCACTATGACTTGGTGGCAACTGGTCTAACTGAGACGCATTGTCTCCCGTATTACCCACGGGTTGACTGCTGCCTTGTTTAAACTTAGACTAGGTGTTGTGCTCGAATTTTTTCACTGAGTCCACTGACACCACTCTGTACACTTGTTCTACTGTCCTCATCTAGAGTTGCTTCCACAGGGGGTATACCAATTTGAGAAGCACCAGCTGAAGGGGCAGGGGGCTGGGGGGATCGAGATCTGGGCACTGTAGGTGTTGTCGAAGTATACGAGGATTGGGGAGGGACGCTGGAGGTTGGGGAGTGGAGTGTGGAGCGATCTTTCTCTAGTCTCGCTCTCTTAGCTGGGGGACTGTGGTGTTCATGTTGCGTTTTACTATCTTTTTCTCTCTATCACGTTCCCCGTTCTCTTTTAGAACAGGAGGGTCATCAGGCACTGCTAAACCTTTTATTTGTAGTCCTTCTGCAGTTTTAATAGAGATCCTAGACTAGACTGAGAACATTCACTTCACCATTGTACATGAAGTCCAAAAGAGCTTCGAGATCACGGGATGTCACATCTTTCATAACACTATTGGATGTTTACTAGGGTTCTTAGTAAACATCTGTTTAAAATAGTCACTACAGGGTACTGAGAACAAACTTATGTGCTGCATATAGCTTTTCCACCACAGGCCAAAGTGGCATCCACAAAGATTTCCTGAAAGAAAAAAATAATAGGAATAAATATCTATGAGATCAATAGGGAAATATTGCTTAAATATTAAGTACCTACTTCTTGCATCAGAATAAATGAAGAGATTACCTATTTTGCTGAAATAAAAAATTTTGCCTCAGGAACTACATTGAAAAATAAATTCGGTACCTTCATAACCTAATCTAAATAACAAAGTAGGGTCAGCAGGGAGTAATTTCTCAGATCAGATCAAGATAAATTGTCTATATTATCCTTCACTAGGATCTATGATGCTTACCTATTAGAAAAAAAGGTCCATCTTCACTTACAACAAAGTAATCCTTTTATCCATTTCATAAATTAAATAATCTACTCCCCTTACCAACGCATAATAATTACTACCAAATGTTCATTTTTGCTATTCCATAAGAGAAAGTATTCGTCAAAACAATTTACTTAATTTTCAAAACTATAATGAAGTATATTTTGGAAAAAAAAAAAAAAAAACCCTAGGCTTTAATATTATATAAATCTAGTTTTTTTTTTTTTTTTACTTAACTATCTAAACAAGCTGTAGCCCAATAACAATGGGTAAAATCTTTTGATAAAGTTAGATAAGGTTCAGCAAGACGGGCATATGTTTGCATGTGCTACTCCACACCTGGGCAACTGTCCAGTAAGGATGCACAAGACATAACCTAAATGATCTGCGGTACCGACTCATGACATGTGGCATCACCTGGCCTCTGTGATTATTCACCAACACATTATAACACATTACCTATTGCCATTGGTAAAATTTTGAGAAATATAAAACTATATTTTCAAACATTTCTGATATTCTCAAATACAAATACAAATGAAAAGATAATGTAAGTAGCAGATTTTATATATTGAAAATATAGTATGTAATAACATCAACTCTAAAATAAAAACTGTATAGAACTTTGAAAATTGATCTGATGTATGGTCTTCATAACAGTTGAAACTGCTATTGCAACTATTGCCTTTCTGGTAAAAATACAAATTGTGGATGTTATCGCAAGCCATAGGGCCTGCAAGGACATGGAAATCCACCCACCCTCTCATCCAATGTTTTTTTATTAGTCATTTTCAAAGATTAATGTATATAAATGACTTTACAAGCTTGTAAGGGTCTCTCCATACCCAATGGATATGCTTTGAATCAATTAGAGAAAGTGAGTTCTTCTGTAAGGTTAACTTTTTTTTCTTTTTTTCCCCTTTTTTGAGCCTTCAAATCAGTTATCTTTTCTGTTTTTATATGAATATATATTTCCCTGCTTCAAAGAGTGAGAAAGATCCAAACAGCTCCACTCAGTCTCGCACTCCATTCGTTTTCACATACTTCTATAATTCTCTAAGTTGAATGAATATATTGTAATTCATGCTAGAATTATGTGATTCTAATAAATTCTTTACTAAAATAGCCATTGACGCTTCCCTTTCTTCATAATTAGAATAAAAAAAAGATATTCATTATTAATATTTACTTTAGTTCAGTTTATTTTAGATTTAATGCAATTATGGAATATTTCATAAAGGAATATCTATTTCCATATAAAAAAAAAAAAGGTTGATTTACAAAATGTATTACCTACTGAAAACATTGACAACTGATTGTCAATAGTGTCACTGAAAAGAAACTAAAAAAAAAAAAAAAATCATATATATATAATATATATATATAGACAAATATATATATACTTTTTATATAAAATAAAAAATATATATAACATAAAAAATATATAAACATATATATAACATATATACATGTATATAAAAATATATAAATAAAATATATATAATATATAATATAATATATATATATAAAATATATTAATATATATAAATATAAATATATATAAAAATATATATAAACATATATATATATATATATATACTATATATATATATATATATATATATATATAATAAATGTATATATATAATGTACATATATATTAGTATATACGATTTATAAATAAATATATATTTATAATATATACATACTTAATATATATATGTAATTTATATACATAAATATTTCTAAATATATAAATATATATCCATTTATTATTTCTTATTTTTGTAGATATAACAAATTTATAATACTATTATATACATATATTACACATCATATAGAAGAT